GGCTGGAGGGAAGCTCTTGTCAGGCAGGCAATGACGGGAGTGGGGGTGAGCAGGGCAGGCACAAGGAAGGAGGCAACTTTGCCTCCGGCCCTGCCCATCTTCCCCGCTCTCTCAGTCCACACCAGTGACCCCGCCTCCCTGCTACAGGTCTTCTCAGAAGGAAATCCTGTTCTAGGCCTAACCTATGTCCCTCCTTTCTGAAACCAAGTCCCATCAACAGTGGAAAATCAGCAGAAGTTTAGTTCGTCCTCTCATTTCCACTCTCTCATCTTAGTTTTCTTATCATGTTCTTCCATGGGACTTGCACCAAGCCCAGGTGTCTCCCTTGAGGTGGGCTAACAGTGAGAGGGATCTTGGGTTTGGAGTTCTAAGCCCGTCCCCATCAATTCTTGGCTTTATGTCATTAGACTACTTGCATGCCATTGTTCCTTCCTCTGGGCGACTCAAACTTCCGCTCTCAGATTAGACCCCCTTCCCTCCAAGGAGCCTTCACAATCCCGGAGGCTGAGTTACAGATGCCCCCATGACACTCCGGTTCTCCCTGCCCAACTCTAAGTACCGTGGGCACGGAAACCATGTCTAATGCGTCCTGAAGCCCCAGTGCCTAGCAGAGTGCCTGGTATGTGATAAATTGAAAAAGTATGTCGCACGAGCAAATAAAGGAACAAGTAAAGGATGACTTCATACATTGGACTCTCAGTTATAATACCTGCTGAACAGAGTCACTATGGCTACTGAAAAAAAGGGACTATATGTGAAAGTACTGACACTTCTCAGAACTCAGACCACGGTAGGTCCTCAGAAAAGTGTTAGTCCCCCCAGCTCCTTCGTATCAGAACAACCTTCAGGAGACAACTATTCACAGAGTTAACAGAGGACGGAGCCGGGACCGTGGGGATGACCACAGGAAGACAGATGGCAGGCCTAAGGAGGAAAAGGTGTTCGGGTAAAGCCACTGACTCGTGGAACTGGTTAGCAGCCTGTGCAGCTGTGCAGGCTGAGGGCTTTCGTGTCAGGGAAGATGCCACACAAGACGACCTCTGTGGTCCCCTGCTGTCCATGGTCGTGAACTTGTGATTTCTAGATGTTTTGCATGATCACAGAGGTCCAGAAGGGAATGGGAGGAAGCACCCATGTGCCCTGGGCCTGGACAGTCAGGGAGGACTGCTACCGACACTCCAAATACTGGGAAGTTGGCAGTCGCCATCTGGTATGCACGCAGAAAGTCTTCCCTCTGTGATGACCTGTGTTTCTGAAGCCCTGCCCCTCCATCTTCTGAGTTTTTGATGTCTGAGAAGTGAGGAGAGGTGCCATGTTTTTGTTATGGGATTCAGTCTGTGGTAGAACCACTTGTCCAGAAGTGGGAGTGTGCATGGACCCTGTGTGTGTCACCGAGTGCTGTAGTGAGTGTGTGTGCATGTGCTTTCACTCACGCCCTAAAGCACTGCAGTCCTTACTCCATGGAGTGAGTTGAAATGAGCCAGTTGGAGCGTGATTCATGTCACTAAGTTAGATTCATAGTTTTGTTCTTTAGGTTAAGGTATTTAATTGCCCTATTGAGATGCAAACCACTCTGCAGGAACCTATGCTGGTAAATTTAAAATTCTTTATGAAATGGGCAAATTACCAGGATGTAATTTTCCAAGTTTACCCAGGAAGAGATTTAAAACCTGAGTAGATTAATTGACATGAAAGAAATCAGAAAGCATTATCAAATAATTCTCACCCAAACAAGGTCTGTGCACAGGTTGTTTAATTGTCGAGTTTTTTCCAAAACTTTCAAGGGATGACTCAGTCCTTCCTGTCCTATAAAAACTATTCTGGGAAATAGAATTTAAAAGTGAATAGAGCTGATTCATTATGAAGCTGGTATAACTGAGATATACCAGCAAAGCTTTGTAAAGATATTTTCAGAAGAGAAACCCATGGATCTATTCTCAATAAAATAGAAGCAAACCAATTTTGGCAGAATTTAAAAGTATAACCACTATGTAGTAAATCTACTTGTTAACGCATCAGATTTTTAAAATATCAGATTTTTTAAATATTCATTGCAGCTGATGCCAAAAAAAGCATTTGAAAACGTTAAACGCAAACTCCTCATATGTTTCATTATTAAAAATTAGTAACGGGAGGAGATTTCAGTAACATGAAAAAGAATATCTCAAACCAACATACACATATACTTAATAGAGGAATAAAAGTTCTAATAAAATGAAGGAAAAATAAATATACCTTTTCTTAATACTGTTTAGCATTGTTTTCCAAGTTCTGGTTTATAAAATGAGATACAGACCAGAACTACAAGTCCACTTATTATTTTTTAAAAGGAAAAAGAAGGAAAGGATAATTCTCCTTTGAGTAGCCAATAAAATCAATTAAAACTTTGTCTACTAATAAGGAAAATTTTTAAATGGCAATATGTATGGTAAGGGCAGAAAATCAATAACTTTCCTTTATAAAATTGCTGCCAATTCAGAAATAGGATGGAAAATTATTGTATTCTCAATGGTAAGAAATAGAAAAATACCTAAAATAAACTTAACAAGAAATGTGGGAGGCCTGTCACTGTCACAAACACTGAGTGTCTCCTGAGTGCCAGATTCTGTATTAGGTTCCTGCAATATGACTGTGAGCCAGGGGGACACCGTGCCTACTGTCACTGACCTAACAAATAAAAGTGAGACACTACTGAGAGATGTAAATCAAGACTTAAAAACTCAGAGCACTATACTCTGATACTGGATGCAAAAGACTGAATGTTGTCAAGATGTCAATTTTCCACCAATTATGTCACAACTTTAATGAAATACTAATGAATAAAAATCACAATGAGATTATTTGTGAAATTTGGCAAAATGATTCTAATGGTTACAAGGATAAAACTTGAGAATAACAAAAAAATTTAACAAGCATTTCATTTCTAAGTGTCATTAGAAATCTAAATAAATGATGATACTATGGTGATTAAGATTGTACAGCACTCTCTTCCAACTCAATAACAAAAGACAACTCCATTAAAAATGGGCAAATGGTTTGAAGAGAATTTCTCAAAAAATTATATATGCCAATATGCACATGAACATATATTCAGCATCATTAGCCCTCAGAAATATACAAATCAAAATGACTAGGATGGCTAGAATAAAAAGAGAGACAATAAAAGAAAACTTGGTGACAATCGAGGTTTGGTTCCCAGTCAGGGCACATACCTGGTTGCAGGCCAGTTCCCTGCAGGCCAGTTCCCAGCAGGGGACGCATGAAGGCAACCGTACATTGATGTTTCTCTCCCTCTCTCCTTCCCTTCCCCTCTAAAGATAAATAAATTAATTAATTTAAAAAAAAAAAGAAAGAAAAAAACTTGGCAAGAGTGTGGAGAAATTGGAACCCTCATGCATCAATGGTGAGAATATAAAATGGTGCAGGTGTTTTGGAGAACAATCCGATAGTTTCTCAAAGGTTAAGCATAGAGTTTCTCCATACCCAGCTGTTTCATTCCTTTGTATATATCCTAGGTGATGAAAGCATATATTCATATAAAAATTTGTATATGAGTGTTCAGAGCAGCATTATTTATAGGAGCCAAAAAGCAGAAACAACTCACATATCCATCATCTAATGAGTGGATCATTAAAAGTGGTGTAGTATACAATGGAATGTTATTCAGCCATTAAAAAGGAAGGGCATACTGATACATGATATAGCATGGAAGAACCTTGAAAACATGTGCTAAGTGGAAGAAGCTAGCCATAAAGAACCATATATTTTATGATTCAATTTATATGAAGTGTCTAAAGTAGGCAACTCCACTGACACAGAAAGTAGATTAGTGGTTGGTACCCTAGTCCTGAGTGGACTGGGGAGATGGGGAGCTCCTACGAATGGGTCAGAAATTCTGTTTGGGGGCCAACGATGTTGATTGCAATGATGGTTGCACAACTCTGAATTTACTAAAATCCATTGAATTGGATGCTTTAAATGGGTACACTGTGTAGTATGTGGATTATATCTCAGAAGAACTTTTATTTCAAAAATAGAAAGGTGTTGGCCCAAGAACAAAGAGAACATCACTACCTATCAAATGATCCCATCACACATAAGAACTTAATCTAGGATAAAGATAGTAGCACAAAACAGTGCAGAAAATGGAATAAAAACAACTACTTAGCAACTCGGGAGGAGGAAATATCAAGTTAAATTATCACTTTATGTCAAATATCAAATTGTGATCAAACTGTCAAATTGTGAGAGTTCTTGAATTTCATGTCGCTCAAAACTTAACATTAAAAATTAGGCCATATTTCCAAGAACAAAATATAGTATACTATCTTTTTGATCTTTGAATGAGAAAGGATTTGCTAAGCTTAAAAGCAAGAAAAAACTCACACTAAGAAATATCAATAGATTTATTTTATAAATGTGAAACTCTTACTCTTATTAATATCATAAAATAAAAATAGTAACAAGGTTTGAGAAATCTGTTTCGATGGATAAAAAAGGGGTAATGATTTTAATATTTAAATTGCTGAAACACTTAGTCCCTAGTAGTACATGGGCAAAGTGCATGAATAGAAAATTCACAATAAAGAATATGCAAATCAAAATGTGATATTTTTCAACCATCAAATTACTAAAATTATTTTTTTAATCATGGCAATTTAATACTAGCACCAGTGACTCAATGACAAGATTGACACTGCTTTCCTGCAAATCTACTTGTTACTCTAAAAAATGTTCATATAATTTGACCCAACAATTGTATATCCAAAATCTATGCTTAAGGATTTATTTGAAATATGGGCAAAGATTTATTGAAAGAAATATTTCTCATTAAATTATGACATGTAACTTCTCACATTTTCCTCCCTAAGAATATTGAAGACTCATGAAGATCAATACCTGGTAGAGCTGGGGCAGGCCCTGGTAGGGGCCTTGAAGGTGCAGAAACCAGGCCTCCTGCTCCTCTTATCTTCCCAGAGCCATCTTGCTTCCCAGGGAAGATGTCACTGTGGAACAATGGCAGCTCCAACTTGTCCTACACCAGCTTCCTCCTGGTGGGCTTCCCAGGGCTGCAGGAGACCCGCATACTCCTGGTGCTGCCCTTCCTCAGCCTCTATCTGGTGATTGTCTCCGCCAATACTCTAGTCATCCACACAGTGGTGGCCAAGCAGACCCTGCACCAGCCCATGTACCTGCTCATTGCCCTGCTCCTGGCTGTCAGTATCTGTACTGCCACCACTGTGGTACCTGTCATGCTGTTCAGCTTCTCCACCCGTTTCAACCGCATCTCCCTAGCTTGCTGTCTGGTCCAGATGTTCTGCATCTATTTCCTCATTGCCTTTGACTGCAGTATCCTTCTGGTCATGGCCCTGGACCGCTATGTTGCCATCTGCAACCCACTCCGCTACCCTGAGATAGTGACAGGCCAGTTGCTGGCTGGCCTGGTTGGGGTGGCTGTTGCCAGGAGCACAGGCATTGTTGCTCCAGTGGTAGGGCTGGCCTCCCAGGTTCGCTTCTGCCGCTCAGATGTGATCTACCACTTTGCCTGTGAGCACATGGCCTTGATGAAGCTCTCCTGTGGGGACATCTCAATAAACAAGACTGTGGGGCTCGCGGCCCGCACCTTCAACAGGGTCCTGGACCTACTGCTCCTTGGAGCCTCCTACTCCCGCATCATCCATGCTGCATTTAGAATTTCATCAGGCAGAGCACGTTCCAAGGCCCTGAACACCTGTGGCTCCCATCTGCTGGTCGTCTTCACTGTGTACTCTTCCACCATGTCCTCATCCATCATCTACAGAGTGGCCCGCGCTGCCTCCCATGATGTGCACAACTTGCTCAGTGTCTTCTACCTGCTGCTCCCATGTTTGGTCAACCCCATCATCTATGGGGCCAGGACCAAGGAAATTAGGCAGCACCTGGGAGTTCTGTTTCAAAGGGCACAGCTGCCAAGTCACCAGTGAAAAGGCCCAGTCCCTGTCCTCACACAGAGAACTTTCTGCATGATTCTCTAGAACTTATAGATCCTACAATCACTCTTAATGTCAAGTGGGTAAATGAGCAGGTGAGTCATCCCTGCTGTATTTTAGCTTTGGGTACCTACATTCATCTTTGAGAGTCTTTTATCCATTTTCTGAAACATATCTACTTATCCAGAGTTACACAGTAACCAATCACAAAGTCAGCTTCTGTCCCTGGCTTCTAAATTTTCTCCTTTTCTTTCTGCATGTGATTTTCTTTTCCTTTTTACTAAGATTTTATTTATTTTATTATTTGTATATTTATTTTTTAATATTTTATTTCTTTCTTTTTATTTATAGAGAGAGGGGAAGGGAAGGAGAAAGAGAGGAAGAGAAACATCAATGTGTGGTTGCCTCTCACATGGCCCCCACTGGGGGGCCCGCAACCCAGGCATGTGCCCTGACTGGGAATCAAATAGTGACCCTTTGGTTCACAGCCTGGGCTCAATCCACTGAGCTACACCAGTCAGGGCTGTATATTTATTTTTTAGAGGGAAGGGAAGGGATAGAGAAAGAGAGGGAGAGAAACATCGATCAGTTGCCTCTCACATGCCCCCAACCAGGGACCTAGGCTACAACCCAGGCATGTGACCTGACCAGGAACCAAACCAGAGACCTTTTAGTTTGGTGGATGATGCCCAACCCACTGAACCACACCAGTCAGGGGTGCCTGTGATTTTCATTGATTCATTCACTCTCATCCATCCATTCATCAAACATTTATCATACATACATCATGCTGACCCCATGACTGCAAAGAAAGGAAAATGGTCTCTGTCCTGAAGGAGGTCCCAACTTAGCAAGCTATAAAGATGTGTAATGTCTTTACAATAATAGCTTTACGTACCAAATTCTGTGAGAACATAGCGGAGGGACAATCGTGACCACAGAACACTTCACAGAGAAGGTGAATTTGAGTTTTGGAGGATGAGATTCAGTGTTTACTGGAGAGGGAGGAGGTAGAAGAAAAGGCATTCTAGGCCAAGCAGCATGGGCGATAGGTAAGTGATAAAGAAATTGGTACCGGGAGTGGGGTGCTGTGTAATGAAAATCAAAAACATGTGGCATTGGCTTTGAGATGGATCTGGTCACCCAGCTTGCCTCAGCAATGAATCTTGTGAGGTTAGTTTAGCCAGGTCCCCTTATCCCTCTTAGTAATTTTCCCTCCATTGACCCTACCCTCCTCCTTGGCTATAATTCCCCTTGACCCATGCTGTATTTGGAGTTGAGCCCAGTTCTATACTGAGGTCTCTCTTTCTTTAGTACAACTTTCCTGAATAAAATTTGTTTTTACCACTTTAACTACTGTTCTGCTCTAGTTTTTCTTTGACAGTATTCCCACTGGTACCCAGACAGCTCTGCCATAATCACAAGAACGCACTTGCACTAGCCTGTGGGAGGGACCAAGGATGCATTTAGCAGAGCTGACTGCCCCAGTCATCCCACAAATGCTAACTAGAGAAGCTGGTAGCCAGCCAACGCTTACATATGTGAGCAAGCCCAAGAGAAGTCAGCAGAGCCACCTAGCTAACCACCCAACATGTGTGAACAATGAATACTTACAATAAATTTAAACTGAGTTTTTGTGGCTGTTTGCCGTGCAGCAATTTTATGACAAGAGATAACTGACAAAATGACTCAACAGTGGTTTATACACAGCACGTCTGCAATAAAAGTCTTCTTCCTTTATCACATTGGATAAAGGAAGGATGTCTTTTCACTTTTTGATGATGAGTTCTGTAAGGACAGAAACTATTTTAAAGACAGAGTAAGGTAGTGAGAAAACATTATTAATTTAATAGGAAAGTCACTGTTTGACAAAATACATTGGCAAATTCTTGAAGGTAGAAGGTACTAACAGTGAGGGGATAGTGCCCATTCCAATAACTACTACTCTTTAATCAAAGAAATTCGGGATTCTCAGGGAAATGGCTGATTCTAGGGCTGGGGCATGAAAAGTGAAAGATGATCCTGGATTATCTTATTGTGCCACAAAGTAAGGAAGTGCTCAGATATAACGGGGGCCTGTCAGAAGGACAGCAGGACCAATGTGAAGGGCTTTCCAGTAGCCAAGTCAGGGAGAATTTGGGCAACAACATAAATAAAGGTAATTGATGATAACCTTTAGAATATGAATCCAAAAGTCCATACTGAATTAGATAAGTAGACAGACAGATAGATGGATGATAAGGGAAAGTTGTTCCTTATAGTAAAACTTCAATTAATTAATGTAGAAGGAATAATAGAGGTAGAAAATCGCCATTTGTCAAACATCACAGTAATAAACGTTTCAAGCAAGAACAACCAATGCATGCTAAAGTTAGCAAGCAGAAATCTCAAAATATTCCCTTGCAAGGTCCCTATTAATTACCAAGGGAAAACAGTAACTTTACCACAGAGAAACCTGGAAGTTTCTTAAGCAAACAATAGATGATAACATCCCCCGCAGTGGCACAAAGTGATATCAGGCACTTTCTGAAATGATCCCCTGAGAAGGGCACAATATCACTTCTGTGGTATTCTTGCAAAAAACTGCATAACCTGAATGGAATCAAGAGGAAACATGAAACCACCCCAAAATGAGGGGCGCTCCACAAAACAACTCGCTAACTGAAAGACAGGAAAAGCCGAAGGCCTGTTCCAAAGCACAGGAAGGGAGACATGAAAACTAAATGCAAACATGCAGTGCTGGGCTGGATCCCAGGTCAGAAAAGGGGTGTTAGCTCAGTATTCACATCTGTAAATTTAATAGTAGTAGTGTGTCCATCTCCATCTCCTGATCTTGATAATTATACTATGGTTATGCAAGATGCTAACACTGGTGAATCTGGGTGAAGGGTACACAGGAATTCTTTTTGGACTGTTGTTGCAACATTTTTAAACTCTGAAATTATCTCAAAATTAAAAGTTAAAAAATGTTAAAAGTAGGTGGAACTGTTCTCTTTGGAAAGTGGGGGAAATGTTCAGGTACTAGCAAGAAGGAAGATGAGAAAAACAAAATGGCGTAAGTGTACATAATTTTATAGTGTGACCCATTCCCTCTAACCCTCACAGAGAAAGCTACCAAAATCACAAAGCCACCCAGAAACCTAAGAGAGCAGCAAACACAACAGCAAAGCAAAGGCAAAGTGAATGTGAGGTACTAAACCAGAAGAACTTGCTGCAATCATGGTGAGGGCTCCGTATTATCACACCCCAGGAGAAGCTACATGCATGGTATATAGTATGTGTTACATTGTTAACTATTTATGTGAAATATTAAAGAAAGGTACATCTCAATGTAAAAGTCCAAACCATAAAGCTTTTACAAGATAATGAATATATCTCCATGACTTCAGGATGAGTGTTTTTAAAGAAAAGACAAGAACCACTAACCTTGTTACAAAAGAAAAAATGTTGTAAATTTGACTACATAAAGGAAAAAGGTGACAAATTTGATTATATTAAAATTCAGAACATCTGGTTCTGACAAAAGCCAGTGGAAGATGAAATTCAGCCCACATCACACTTGCAAAGCCAACAGACAGGGAGCCTTTTCGTAATTTGTGCAAAGCTACCCTGTGTACTAGACACAGTTTCAATCAAAAGATACCACAAGAGCCCTGGCCTATGTGGCTCAGTTGGTTGGAGCATCATCCTGTAACTAACTGAAGGGTTCCATGTCTGATTCCCAGTCAGGGCACATACCTGGGTTGCAGGTTCAATCCCTAGTTAGGGCATGTGCTGGACGCAACTGATTGATAGTTCTCTCTCACACTGATGTTTCTCTCTCTCCCTCCCTCTCTCTCTACAAGCAATGAAAAAATGTCCTCAGGTGAGGATAAAAACATTTAAAAAGAAAGGCACCACAAGAGAGTAAACAGGCAAGCCAGGGATTTGGGAAAGATATCTGCAATAAATTTAACCAACAAAGAACTATTATCCAGAATATATAAAGAACAACTACAAATCAGTAAGAAACAGGTAGATGACTTAAGACTTGAACAGTCACTTCAGCAAATAAGTATATGAAAAGGTATTTGACCTCCAGCCTCTCACATACAAATGGTCAGGCTGTGCACTATATAACCTCACAACATCTATCAGGTAGACATGGTAGATTTGTACATGAATCTCAACAATCTCCCTAGCAGATGACAATGAACACTGTCATCACTACTAGTGAGGCCGTAGATTGAAACAGCCTCTTGGGAAGACAATTTGCCACCATCTAGTGCAACTGAATATGTATGCATACCTTTGACCCCCAAACCTCCTCAGGTACATGGGCAGCAAAATACCTGTATAAGAATATTCACAGTGGCATTATTCCTAACTATGAAAACCCAGAAACAATGTAAATGTCCTTGAGCAATTAAATGCGTAAAATATGGTGCATTCATACATTGGCATGCTAACAAAGTAAAATAAACTTGTCACAATATGAATAAATTTTGCAAACATAATGCTGATTTTTTTCTTATTGTTTTCAAATCTTTTTAGGATATAATGGACTGTATAAAGCCAAAAATCTACTTCCGCCAAGATGGAGGCGTAGGTGGAAGCACTTCGCCTTCTCACACAACCAATTTTAAAAACAACAAAGTTTAAGCAACAAAAACGCAGCCAAACCACAGAAAATTGAACTACACGAAAGTCTGACAACAAGGAACCCTTCAGCCAAACCAGTAAGAGGAGCAGAGCAGGGTCAGGCAGGAAAGATCCACCGGGCTGACCCAGGCACGCGACCCAGGTGCACCAGCAGCCGTGGGTGGATCCCAGGTATGGAGAAGCAGGTGGACCTACTGAGGGCACAAGGTGGTAGACCCACTGAGGGCTGATCGCAGTCACACATTCGCGTGCAGATAAACCAGTGAAGGAGCTAGCCGTGGTGAGACAAACCGCGCAGGCCCCAGCGGCAGAAAGCGGTAGGGAGAACCGCCATTGTTCCTCTCTGACCCTGC